AGCCGTTTAAATTTCTTCTAGAATATTCCTGAATGGTGTTACTGAATGTCTGAGATGTTCTGACTTTCTGTGTAACTTTTGACTAGCAGGTTAACAAATTGGTCCCAGGTTAATTAACAACGTTCTGATGATGATAATAACAGAGAAATCTATATTTTGGAATTCGCTGTTTATCGAACCGCATTTAAATGATTGCTAGCTGTATATAAATGCATAAATTATTAATTTAAATAAGTTTCGATTTCAACATGGAAAGCAGTTGAATTTTGCGGGAGTGGAATCATTTTCAAATTCTAAAGCTGATGGATTTTTTTTCAATCAATTCTAGTAATTCATGTTCATTCCAGTTTTGTTGGAAGATCATTTTTAAAATTTACAAGTCAATGACCTTTTTTGTTAATTTCCGTTCATTTAATTACTACATTATACACAGGATCTTTAATATTTCCGTCTTTCGTGTTCAGGTTAGAGGGGGCATACCCTAGCCTCCCCCTGGATCTCTCACTGGTCACGCTTATCTGTTACACTCATCGTACGCTGAAAACATCCGCTGACATATGTAGCAAAAATGTTCAGCAGCTGTCTATCTAGTAACTCATTAGTCTATTTATTTATTAATCATCCGTCCGTTCATCCATCCATCTATCCTTCCATCAATCCATCCGTCTATCCATCCGTCCATCCATCCATCCATCCATCCATCCATCCATCCATCCATCCAACCATCCATCCATCCATCCATCCATCCATCCATCCAATAAAGAATAAAGTAGCCAAGCAAGCAGACAAATCGCCACCCAGTTTAGTTCGATATGCAGCCGATATACGCTTAAGGTCAAGTGGGTACTGCGTAGTACCATCAATCATTGACAAGTAGATGGTATCGAGCCTGATTTGCCTAACTCTCATTATTTAAGCAACAATCTTTAGCACTTCGGTCGTCCGTGCCATCACACGTTCAGGGTAGACACATGCACACTCACACATACACACTCACACATACACACTCACACACACCACACACACACACAACACACATAAAATTGTTGTACACACACTTCAATTCAGGAATATAGAAAACGCGAGTGAATGTGTTTGAGTATCTATGTGCATATCGACGTTTTGAGTGTGTTTGTTTGCGTGCATATACATACGTGTGTGTGTGTGTGTGTGTGTGTGTGTGTGTGTGTGTGTGTGTGTGTGTGTGTGTGTGTGTGTGTGTGTGTGTGTGTGTGTGTGTGTGTGTGTGTGTGTGTGTGTGGCTGTGATGACGTGTTGTATGTGTATGTGCAAATTAGAGCATAGTGATCAAGGTTAAAAAGTGACGAAAGCATTTTTACCGGAGAGTCATCAATAAAAATTTGTAGCTTCCAATTTAAACTTTTTCAGCTTTTTTACATAGTTTATAATAATCATTTATTAAAAATAATAAAAAGCCAATTAAAGATAGACTACGATGATTATACAGATGCTAACAATGTTTTGTGATAATGATGGGATACCAGCATCTCTCATGATGATGATGATGACATTGTATAAACATGAACGAGCACTTTGCGATCACTCCACTCGGCGTCCATATTTTGCTTGTTGAGAGAAAAAATATTTGTTTGTCGAAACAAAGCGGATATGAATATATAGGCATTCATACATTATATTTTATGTTGAAGAATGATTCGCAAGGTGCAAGTGAGTGTTGCATGAAGTCGTTACAAAATATCGAAACATTAGCGATGCCATAATTAATACTGAGAAAGCATCGCCGAAACAATGCCGTAACGATGGAAGCATTAGATGGTGGTGATGATGAAAACGATGGCGATGCATCGCAACGGAAACAAGAACAACAACGACGGCAGCAAAAACGATTGCGAAGACATCAACGACGACGACGGCGATGATGACGACGTGGATGAGGCCGACGATAACATCTCACCTTGCCGTTGATTCTAATCAGGAAAGAGTCGCCAACACGTCTGGATGGATGAACGGAGGTACGAACGGAACGTAGGATGGTGCATTGTTGATTGTGCTGTATGGATGGGTACCTTCCTAACTACCTGTCTGTCTGTTTTTTTGTCTATTTGTTTGTCGATTTGATTAACTTTTGTCTGTCTGTATGGTTATTTTTGTCTGTCCGTTTGTTTCTCCGTCTGCTTGTTTGTATGTTTGTGGCAGCGGATGCCTTGATACCAAATGCATATGAAGCGTATTAATTGAATTACGTGTTTTCCTTGCGTATACTATTGATATCTTCATTCTGTAATTTAATTTTTTCTGATTTCCCGTAAGATTAAAATTTCTTATTTTTTTAGTTGACGTTTGAATTCACTTTTGACATCTGTAACAAGTTTTTCGTGCTGAATTTTATTAATTCCGTCCACAATAATTTAATAATAAAATAATAAAACAATATTTTTATAAATAATAATAAAACAACATTTTTATAAATAATTTTGTGGTCACACTTGTTCGAACACAATGTTTATTTATATTTAAAAAGCATAAAAAATTAGAACATTATGCAGTCTCACATTTATTCATTCGTCTATTTTTCTGTTTATCCATTGATAGTTCTATCAATTTATAAATGCATTAAACCTTTTATTGGTACATCATTTTCTTAATTCATTCACTTTTGATTAATTCATAATTTTGTCAATCAATTCATCCATCAATTCATCCATCAGATCATCCATTAATTCATCAGCACTCTTCGAAGCAAAAAAGTAAAAAATAAATGTAGATGAAAAAAGACGAGAAACATGATGATAAAAATGACGATGACGATGAAAATAATAACAATATAATGATGATGATGGGAGAGTAAATGGAAAGAAATTGAAGAAATAATAGTAGAAAAAAAGGAGGAATTAAAAGTGAGATAGTGATGAAGGTGATGAGGGGAATGATGGAGCGTAGTGGAGGTGGGTATGGACGTGTTACGTGTGCGTTAATGTTTCATAAATATTAATGTTTTCAGAATCTTTTGCATTCAGACAACTGATGCTATCTGGCGATTGATCATCTGGAATTTTCTTCAGCAACCCCCTCCCTCTCTTCTTCATATTCCTCCTCTTCCTTTTTCTGTTTTTTAATTTTTCAGTGCGCACGTGTGTCTACGTACGTGTGCGTTTCGGTTTGTGTCATTTGCGTCAGTTCCTTCAAGGGTGCCTCTGTCTTTTCCGTCCAGTAAGCATTTATTCGTCGTTAGTTCAAGTGGTCTTAAATATAATGAAAAATTTATAATAATATTAAACCTATTGGGGCTGTAGTTGAAATCATGGATATAAATATATATATATATATATATATATATATATATAATATATATATCCATGGTTGACATGTTTCATTTTTATTTAAAATGCCAGAATTTCTTTTTATACAGTTGGTCTTTTATCGGTTATGAAAATTCTGCGCCCATGACATGAATGCATGTGCGTCTGCATGTGTGTGTGTGTGTGTGTGTGTGTGTGTGTGTGTGTGTGTGTTTGACGTGTGCGTGATAGCGCGGACGTATGTTTATCTATCGATGCATCTATTCAAGATTCGGTCGGCAATTTAGGTGTAAAGTAGAGGACATCGCTCATAATGTATTCACAGGTAACGGCCAGTTTTATGCATTGATATATTTTTTTTTATACAGAAATTTATTTTTATTTTATCGCTTGCATATGCATAATATGAATGGCCGAAGAGATAAATAAATGAAACGCAACTGTCCATATGACATTTTTGTCAATTTAGCTGTTTTTTTGTATGAATAAATTAAAATTGGGCTCTAACAAACCTACACTGAAAATCGAAATTAACCAAAATTTCAACTGTAGCGAAATCAGAAACTACGCTAATTATTATTTTTGAACAAAAATTGAAGCCAATGCAAGCTGGTCGAAATCAAAATTGAACTGAAACTGAAAACAAAACGGAAATTTTAACCATTCAGTGACTCGAAATGTGTGACCCAATCGCAAAATATGGCTTATATATTTGGTAGCTGTGTTGGCACTGTTTGACTTTATTGGATAGGCGAGAGATAATTTGTTTCGACTCCACCAACTGCTTCATGCTTGGTCGGAAATTCCGCGATGAGAACGTAATTTATTCTTTAGTGTTTGCTTTCATTAGCTCCACATTTCACTGTTTAAATATAGGTTTGTTATCCAAAATTCAAATGGGACTAAACATGTGGTATTGGTATGGCAATTATCATTATTATGCGCATGCGACCGATGTTGGTATATCTGGAGAGTTTTGTTTTGTGAAGCAGTAGCAAAACTCAAAAACATGTTAAGGCAAATTCGAATCTCTCATTGATGGATATTTGTATTCAACTTGTATTGTAATCATTTGTATTCAATGTATTGTAATTGTTTTTATCAAAAATTACAACCATAGAAATACTCTTTTATTATGGTATATAAGTATTTCATCAATATTAAATAATGGTGTTTGTTCATAGCTGTCTCTGTGTTTATATGAATTTGATGTCTTCTAAAATATACTGCATTAACAAATATATAATTAAATTATTTTCAATCACTTATGTTTAAGAAATAACGTTTATAATTTATTTTAACTATTATTTAAATTTTTTAGAGTGAATGTTGTTAATTAAAATCATGGATGTATATGTATATATATAAATGGCTTAAATGGCTTCAACATATTAACAAACGTCCTCAATAACTTGTTTAAATATTGTACGTCATTGAGTGACAACAAAATTAGTAAATAAAATTGAGCAGTTTCAATTTTTCGACGTAAAATAATTTCATTTTTTCAAAGTTTATTTCAAAATTTTTTATTGCTCTACAAAATTTAGTAATGTTTTTTTCAAGGAATGACGATAAGGTTATTAGTCGTTACAATCAGTGAATACGAAATTTTTTGTTTAGTCGTTTTTCGTTATTATTATGTTTGCTAATAATATCCTGAAAAAATAGGAACTGAAGATATTTTAAACGTAACCTAATTTTTGGTTCATTTATGAAAATATGATTAAATTATTTTCTTTAAAACAACAAAAGAAAGACGGTGTCGACCCCAATTCAAGATCTGCCGGACAAAAAAAAGCGACTGCCGCGCAATTGAGAGTTACCAAAGATATAAATGAGTTGAGTCTACCTCGAACGTGTCAAGTTGAGTTTCCTGACAAAGACGATTTGCTGAATTTCAAACTTGTAATTTGTCCGGATGAAGGTTTCTATCGTGGTGGACAATTCGTCTTTTCCTTCAAAATAGGCCAGGCATATCCTCATGAACCGCCAAAAGTCAAATGTGAAACAAAAGTTTATCATCCCAACATTGACCTAGATGGAAATATCTGTTTGAATATTCTCAGAGAAGATTGGAAACCAGTCCTAACAGTCAACTCACTAATTTATGGTTTGCAGTATTTATTCCTTGAGCCAAATCCTGAGGACCCACTGAACAAAGAGGCTGCTGAGGTTTTGCAGACAAATCGTCGAGTTTTCGAGCAAAATGTATATAAGTCACTGCGAGGAGGAAACATTGGAAATGTTTATTTTGAAAGATGTCTTAAACAATAACCACTTCTACACAATCTACACATAGATAGAGACATTATTGTTAATTAATTAATGATTTATAATATTTCATGCAACTCAAATTTTTTTACATTGTTTGATTCAAATTATAAATCTTAACTATTTATTATTATTATTACTACTATTATCATTATAACCACTGTTGTATAAATAAAAATTTTTACCTTTTTTCCAGTTTTATCGCATTCAGTCTTGGGATTATAATATATAAAAAAAGTTATATTAGCTTATCGTCCTATCATCATTCATGATTCATGGATGGAAAAGTAATTGCTTCTGCTGGTGGGGTCACAAAGGAAATTGTTAGCAGGTAGAAAAGCTGCAACATTAAAAAATTATGTTTTGACAGATATTTTCTTTGAGTTAACTAAAAATTCATTTTTTGTACTAGCTCATCTAGAGAAGGCCAGAATAAGTCAAATTGCATTTTAGTGAGCTCCAGACAAGTAATGCACATTTTTAATATTTCAAGTTGTGACAGTTTTTTTAAACTTTTAAATTATGCTATGTGAGAAATAAAATATTTGAAAAAAATTAAAATTCTAAAAGGTTAAAATATTTTGCATCTAAAATACAGAAAGGCAATCCAATTTTAAAGCTCATTAAGGGTGTGCCATGGCTGTTTGACAGCATTGTCCCTGATTATCAGCTGGGGTCCACAACTTGTGCCCTCTATTTAAGGTTCATTTCACTATTATAATATTCTTGTAGCCAAATAATTCTCGGCATAGAAAAATGAGTAGCTAAGTGATTATATTTATGTTAATAAATTGGTTACTTGAACTTAACTATCTATCAGGAAAGTTCTAACTCGTCACATTAGGTTGATCAAACTAATAGAAGTGGGGATTTGATATGTAACGATTTTTAAAAGATTCTCAACAATAAAAAATATTGCAGCTTGAAGTATCACAACCTGAATCCAAGCTACATACATGAGAGGTTGAAGTTGCTGGCCAGCAGTTATGATTTGAGGGTTCTCTTGGTTCTCGTCGATGTGGTATCTACCGTACTGCTCTCATTTCTTATTTATACATTAGACACTTGCTTGATTTCTACTTTGTTACTTCGGTGGCAAAGTTTTGCAAATAAATTATTCGTAAGTTTTGTTTAGCACTAACAACGCTTTGCTAGGGCAAAAGTTTGTTGCTGCTGTTTTGTCCATAGTTTTGACAAACAGGCTAAATTGGTAGAACATTTCCTGAAGGTGTGTGCCTTTGAATGACTGACGATAACAACAAACATAAAACATTGTTTATTTCATTTATCAACATCTTTGATTTGTAAAGTTTAGAATAAAGGAATGAAGAAATATTAAAAAATTGCATTTCAAAATTCAGTCATGTATGAGTAGCGCTATGAACGGCTTGAAAAATGTAATTATGACACATTATCTGAATTGACAATTAATTAATGTTAATTAATCAACTGTAAAATAAATTTTTCGAAAATCTACTTTTGGTACATTCTTGGCACTTTTTAGAAAGACCCTCACCATGCTCTGAAGGAACTTGGTAAGATTTGCATCTTGGCCGACTGCACTCTCATTCTCGCGTTCAGGTCATGAATTATTATTTTACGATGATTGTCTATTGCGTTTGTTGGTCTTCGCTTCAGAGGCGTAACCAGAGTACTTTGCGCCCGGGGACAAACTAAAAAATTTGCCCCCCCCCCCTCTCCATGTTTGATCACATTTTTCATTACATTAACATTGTAAAAATTACTATTTACAAAAACAATTCAAATTTTAATGGAACCATGTATTTAAAGATAATACATAAATATACAAATTATAACATACGATTCAACCACTGTCAAAGATAATTTACATAGTATACTCTTACGAAAATTTTGTCTGCCTCATTTTAGCGCCCCTGTACTTGGCGCCCGGGGGACATATGTACATCCCCGTCCCTTAGCTACGCCTCTGCTTCGTTTTAACGTTTTTTTTAGTTGCGGTGTGGCGTATTTTCGTTGTTAGTGTGTGGTAGCAGTAGTTAAAGGAAATAGTGGTAGTACAGGCGGTTTCAATGAAAGAAATTGTATCAGATGGGGTCAGTAACAAATGAGATAATAAAGTATCAGCCATTTGTAGGTGCTACGTAACAGTATGTACGATTTAAGAAATATGAGTACATAAGATCACTTGCTAGATAAATGTGATGTTGTATTTATTTTTAGTTGTAATTTGATTTATCAATAAATAGACGTATATTAAAATAAATATTTGTAAAATTATAATTGTTTCCAATTATTTCTAAGTGTAAATAATTACTTTATCTCAAATCTTTTTAATTTTTTCGTTTAATGTAATGGAAATAAAATAAAATTGCAGTTATGATGAGGCCGCTAGATATTTAGAGCTGTACAAGTCCTATGAACATAAGCCCGCCGATCTTATCATGGAAAAAAATGATTCCAATTATATGAATAAGTTATGGAAATTTTTTTTGTTATGTCCTCTTTAACAACAAAAAAAATAATTTGTAGTATCGTTTTTATTACTTTTTTCAAGATTAATACTACTTTTAAGTTTTATTAGTATTATTAATTTTTACTAATATTATTTAAGTTATTCTTTTACTATATCGCTACTGAAAATAATAATATCATACCAAAGGCCACAGCAGAGTGTACGCATTTGTATAAAATATATTGAATACTCAAGATATATCAATATGACGATTTGAAAATTCACTACTACTAAATCATAATACGATTCATGCTTATATTCTTACTTTTACGATATTATTCTTTTGCAATTAGAAATTTTGTTAATGAAGGTGTTGTTTTAATTACAATAATAATAATTATAATATTAATTATTATTATTATTGTAGTTGTTAATATTAAAAATTGCGTCAATATTTAGATGTTAATCTTGCTTTTATAGTGACTATTAATTTCTCGATAACAGCTTGCTGATACATTGACGACAGTCAAGAGAATAAACAGGACAGACGTCGCCACTTTGTCATCCACTTTCGGGGTGCGAGTAATTCATCTTGAGTGTCATTCCATATATTTTTGAATCGATTTGAAAAAATTAAACGAATAATTGCTATTTTTTAAAGTATAATTGATGTATACATCATTTCGTAACGTTAACAACTCTCTGGTTGGTGCTTCACATTCAAATGTAACGTCTCGCTTGGTGGCGAGCATATTTTCGAAATACTCTAGAGATAGTTTTATTATTTTCAATTTTTGCAACAAATGTATTTTTTTTTCCCTCAAAAGTCATTTAAAGAAATAGCAAACGCGTCAGAGGAGAGTTTGTCCTTCTGCCCTGGCGTGGGACCCACTAAGGTTGTCCAACTTCAACGATGGATGGATGAATGAATGGATGATTGGGTGGCTGGCCGGCTGACTGGGTGGTGGTTAATATGATATACTTAATATTATTTTGAATGAATAATCAACTATAATATAATTAAAACTAATATTTCTGTTTGAAATTAATCGTTCAGGCTCAAAGTTTGTTCAAAGTTTTGCACCAGCCGTTTAAGAAATCAGTTCCAAAGAAATCTGTCACTAATTAACATAATGTTTGTAGACATGTTACAAAACTGCCGTCATTTTCAAAACACTCTTGTTATTTATGAAACAATTTTGTTTGTGAAAATAAATATTTTTTCTAATGATAATTAATTAACCGCCCGCGTTGTGCAATTTATTGTGCAAATTATATCGCAGCGTGGATACTGTGAAATGGATGCGCCGAAAATTAATGACAAGTGCGATGTGAGTGCTTCACGCGTGCAGAAAGAGAAATTAATAGGAGGAAGAGGAGGAGGAGTGATTATATGTTCACTTTAATACAATTCACTGTTATTTAAAAATAATTATGCTAAACGCATTCCACAATTAAGATATCCGGCGTACCCAGAAAAAAATTATTGATCTCAACAATGTGTGCAGACTAAGCCTTGCACACCGAATGGAATGGAATCGTGTACGTACGCAACATACACATTTACCAATGTATGCACGTATCTTCATACGTATAAGCCATATACATACATTATTAATCTTATATATATATATATATATTTATATATATACATATACAAGTATATGTAAGTATGTCGTTATGTGTATCTTGTATATTCGTTCATATTTTTACAAGCATCGATACATCATTGCGAAAGAACTGAACATACTTGAAAGCTGACAAATATAGCCGAGTTCTTTCATTAACTCATAAATATATGTTCGGACGTGCTGCGTTAAATTGCTTTCTTAACCATTGAAACGCCTAGCCTTAATCAATGGGAGTTATATTTTCTGATGATTATATCAAATATGTTCACATAAATAATAAATTGTGATAAAAATCTAATTTGGTTGAACTTAAAATTCATCAATAATGGTGCTGTAAACTGATTGTTACATTTTTTTTGAGTCGCTAAAAAGTTAGTAATCTTTTCTCGAACAACCAGAATAAAAAAGATCGGCAAAGATGTCCATGAACACATTCCGTGAGGGATTCACATCTGGGATGAGCTATCTGAAAAGGCGATTCAGCTCGAACGATCTGCAGGGAGACCTCATGAACGAACGAACGGACTCTACCGGATTTAGTTTCAACCTCCCAAAACGAAGAGGACCATCTCCAAGTGCTCCTAGCTCTCCTTCAAGGAGCACGAGCATTCAGGGATTGACCAGAGGTCTTTTTGGATCATCCAGTTCTTCTACTCAGCCCCCCAAACCGGCATATAATAAAGACCGGTGTAAGACCTTGCTGGTCATCGACACACCGAACGTTGAATGGCTAGTTTATTTTTGTGTCTGCTCTGCTGTTCTGTTGGTTAGAATTGTAACGCTCTGTTGTTGGTTGTTAGTAAAAGTTACTACAAAAAATGTCACTTTGTCGGACATGATGATTGGTGTTTGTGATGATTATATTTGATTTTTAAATATACTGATATAATACAGATAAAGTAAGTATTTTTTCCTACGTAAACAGGACCAAGTATTTTCGGGGAAGAAAACTGTTGGGTGAATGGGACTTGAGGGTGGAGCAGGTAGGACAACTCAACCATCAATCTTCCTCAAATTTCATAATTTATCACCCCAACATTAAATATTCTGACAATAAATTTAATGTTTTCATCGAAAGGCTGAATTTTCCGAAATAAACTTGGCTGCCTATTCTGAAACTGGCACAGTGGTAGACATACAAGTTATGAGGAACGGTACAAAGGTTGTCAGGTTTGTAATTTTGGAACTTTTTTAAATCTATTTTATCTGCCTGCTGTAACAGTTTTGTTTAGTTCATTTTTTGAAATTTATTTCAGTTTTTGTTAACAAACTCTTGAATCAAAATTCAATAAAATAAGTTTGGACAAAAACAGGACAAAACAGTTTTTATTCGCATAAAAATGATAAAAAAATTTGAATATTTCCTAATGCATCTAGTTTGCATTCAAATTTAACGCCTTTATTATAATAAATTAAAATGTAAATTGCCATATTCATAAGCCATCCACTAAAAACTGACAACTCCATTCCAGATCTTTCAAGCCGGATTTCGTCCTGGTTCGTCAGCACGTCAAAGACGCCACTGAAAATTGGAAAAACATAATCATCGGATTGCACTACGGACAGATTCCCAGTCTTAATACTTTTGAATCTATTTATAACTTTTTGGATAAACCTTGGGTGGTTAGTGCAGCAATGAAAATTTTTGTGTGGAGTTTTTTTTTGAGTTTATATTGAAGTTATTACTAATTTAATTGCTCAACTTTTTATCTGTTCATTCGTTCATTTGTTTTGTGTGGTTCATTTATTCATTATTCCATTTAATTGTTCTTTCATATTTATTTTTTCATTCGTTCATTCATTCATTCATTCATTCATTCATTCATTCATTCATTCATTCATTCATACATTCATTCATACATTCATTCATACATTCATTCATACATTCATTCATTCATTCATACATTCATTCATACATTCATTCATTCATTCATTCATTCATTCATTCATTCATCATTC